TGCTTGAGCTCACCAAACTGTAAACATTGAACAGAAATCCACATGTCTTTGTATAGGCAGAAAAGACATTTTTGTAGAGAAACATTGGGAAGAGTTGCAAGTTCAAATGGAGGTCAGCCTGAAGGTCCTCCATCAAGCTTGGCGGGGGAACCCTAATCCGTAGTTGGACAACGGCGCGGATCATCGGACTACGGCAACCTGGTCGCTCCCTCCAACTCCCCCGACTGCGGTCTCTCCCCAACCCCTCACGCCGTCTTTCGATTCTCCAGCTAATTCCTATTCTTAATTGATACCTCTTGATTTCCAATCTATCCCAGTTTGATACCCACATCTCTCATGGATCTCGACGCTGGTGACTCCCCGTGGGGCGGTAAGCAACCAGGCAGTCACGGATACAACCGCATCGTGCTTCGTCTAACGCAGTTATGCAGACGTGCCTTCGCAATCGAGCACCACCCATCAAGCATCCCGATCCGAAGTAGAGGAAATGTGTATGTCCCTAAAGAGCATCTTGCATCCCTGTACCTCTTGTCCGAGCTTTCTAACCTGATGACGACATCTCCCAGCTCCCGACCAACCGACACAACAAGCTAGCCCCAGTGCCCCCCGTTCCCCTGTACGACGAGGCCCACGAGGCACCCGAAGGATCAATGCGCAAGCGACGAAGTTAGAGGCGGTGGATGACTCGTTTGATCCCCTTGGTCCGCTCGGGGATAAGGCGGAAACTAGTCCCCTTGAGCAGGCACCTGCCCCGCCGCAGAAGGAGTTCTCAGGGCGCAATGTTCGTCCCACATCATCTGCCTCCCAAGCGTCCGCAGGCACTGGCCTGGCGGATTCCGTGAATCTGGAAGAGGATGGTGCAGGATTTCGAGGACCTCCGCCAGTACAACCTCCGAGTGAGGCGGAAGGGGCGAAACGGCAATCAGAACCCAGTATTAGCGTGGAAAAGGCTGCGAACCCGACCTTCGATATCACTGTCGGCGATCCGCACAAAGTTGGAGACCTCACCAGCAGTCATATTGTGTATCAAGTGAGAACTAAGGTATGTCGTTCTAGTGGGATGCTGTAGGACACTGCTCATGCTACATATAGACGACTTCCAAAGCCTACCGACAACCGGAGTTTACGGTCAGCCGCAGATACCGTGACTTCCTTTGGCTCTATAACTCAATGCATAACAACAACCCCGGTGTTGTTGTCCCCCCTCCTCCGGAGAAGCAAGCGGTGGGCCGTTTCGATACGAACTTCGTCGAGTCTAGGAGGGCTGCTCTTGAACGGATGCTGAACAAAATCGCGGCACACCCTATTCTCCAGCATGATGGCGATCTTAAGATTTTCCTCGAGAGCGAGACCTTTAACATGGACGTGAAAAACAAGGAAAACAGGGAACCCGACCTTGGCCAGAACAAGGGCATGTTCAGTTCCTTTGGCATTAATGTCGGTGGTGGTGGAAAGTTCGTCGAGCATGATGATGTAAGTTTGTCTACGAGTGCGAGCAGGTAGCCGTGCTGACATTTTCAGTGGTTCCATGACCGCAAGATCTACATGGACGCCCTGGAGAATCAGTTGAAGGCATTGATGAAATCGGTCGACACAGTGGTGGCGCAGCGCAAAGGACTGGCTGAGGCTGCTGGCGATTTTTCGGCTTCCCTTCATGCATTGGCAGCTGTCGAGCTGTCTCCTGCGCTTTCTACTCCCCTCGATGGCCTTTCCGACCTACAGCTACGCATAAGGGAGCTGTACGAACGCCAAGCTCAACAGGATGTTCTCACTCTGGGAATCACAATCGACGAGTATCTTCGTTTGATTGGAAGTGTGAAGACGGCTTTCTCCCAGCGCCAGAAGGCTTTTCATAGCTGGCACGCGGCGGAAGCGGAAATGCAGAAGCGCAAACATACGCAAGAGAAGCTCCTCAGGCAGGGCAAGACGCAGCAGGATCGCCTGACCCAAGTCAATGCCGATGTGGCCGATGCCGAGAGAAAGGTTCATCAGGCTCGGCTACTATTCGAGGATATGGGTCGGCTTATGCGAAATGAACTCCAGCGGTTCGAGAAGGAGAAGGTGGAGGATTTCAAATCTGGGGTTGAGACCTTCTTGGAGAGTGCAGTGGAAGCCCAAAAAGAGGTGAGCAGCTACTTGTCCGGTATACAATTGTGACGAATGTTTGCTAACATAGTTCTCACAGTTGATCGAGCTTTGGGAAACGTTCCTCTTGCAGCTGGATGCGGGTGAAGAAGGAAACCCCCTCTACGGTACCGCAGGAGTGGGCGACGCTTCGGCGCCCCCTGCAGTCGAGGAAACCGCTGAAGCTACTCCGGCAGAGGAGGCATAGGCGGTTTCCCTACTTGTCAGACTCTGTACAAAAGAAAAGCGACGACTTGTTGATGTCCCCTCCACCCTTCGCTTTGCGGTATTACCCAACGTTGATTATCACTTTGCCTGCTTACTGAGAGGAGCGGCGCACGTTTGTTCATTTTCTTATGGCGAGTCGTTTATACGTATTCAATGGGATGGATCACTACAGCAGCGCCCTGATATCAATCGCTTCTCCAATGTAGTATAGTAATGGCTCTAATCATGTTCATTCACATCGACTCAAAGATAGTGCAATGGCTACACTCCAGGAAAAACAAGTCTTGAACCACCGATGCTGAAACTCCATTTAAATGGTATGATGTACTGTACATAAAGCCGAACAAGATCTGTATCGTATAACAACATCGAAAAGGAAAGAAAACTGGAATAAAAGTCCTTGAATCGCCCACACTATCATCATACATACACCCCAGCACAACCCAAATCCAACCCAATCAGATCAATCAATCAAATCAATCCTTCTTCTTCTTCTGAGAAGCCTGCTGCTCCTCCTGACCAAACGAACTGATCAAATCCAGCAGGTTGTCGTCCTCTTCCTCAGCAGCGGCAGCGGCCTCCGCAGCAGCAGCCTCCTTACTTTGTGCCGACTTGTCCGTCGTCTTGGAAGAGTCCTCCACAGGCGTGTTCACATCCCAGCTGCGACCGAACTTAGCTCTGAAAGCCGCCAATCGACCAGCCTCATCATCCTCAACGCTCTTCAGCTTGCTTGAGGTAGGGTTCCAGAGCAGAGTGTTGCGCGTGTCACGAGTCGAGCGGTAGACGGGGAGAGGAGAAGAGGTACGGTGGGTGAAGGTGCTGCCGTCGGTCAGGGTGATCAGCTGGGTGAATTGGTAAGGGCGTCTAGGACGACGAAGGAGAGACGCATGTCGGCATTGTGAACAGATGAAGCTGGTGGAGGTCTGGACACGGGAGGTGGTGGCCGCGGTGCGGCGGAGGGGAGTGCTGAGGGACATGGTTTTTCTTTTTTGTGGCCGGAAGAGACTTTGGTAATTGAGAGGACGCCCGCGAAGTGATTGAATATACCGGGCCTAGGTGGGAGAATTGGACTGGAGACTGCGACGCTGCGGTGATCTTCCAGTCTGTCTTTGGCCAAAGACAAATTATTCGGGGCGGAACGACGGGGATTATGTCAGCATCCCGTGGGTTGCTCTTTTTCTTGTCGCGGAATTTCAACTCGACTTTGTTTGAACCCATCAATTTGCGTGCTACGGTCTGGTGGCTAGTATGGTTGCCCATTGAACCGCTGAGGAATTCGTGTGTGCGTCTTCATGATGACTTTGGAGGGCTCCGAGAGTCTTTCTGTTGCTTTCCTCACCTCTGTTCTTCTGCCCGTCTTTCCGTGAGCTGCGAGCTCCGTCCGCCGCGGCATAATAATGCTTCCTTACTCTAGATCTATACTTGCGGCCTGTCGGACGGTGGGCCAAATCACAGGTTAGTTGGGATACTCGGTATGCTCTCAATTAGTATTCATTAACTGATTGTTTCCTTGTAAAGGGCAATGCGCACCATCTATTGAAACAGCTCTCCGATACGGTCAACTGCAATCCCGCAGAACGGTCACCAAAGTCGCCGCAGCCGCTAGAATCCCCCAATCCGACTTGAAAGGGGCTCAGCATACGAAGAATGATGTCGCCTCATTATCCGATCAAGTCCGTCTCTTGATGAGACGAGTCCCTTACCCTGTCGCCATCATCACGGCCACCGATCCCCACGGTCCGGCAGATAAGGCCTTCCGCGGAATGACCGTCTCCTCCTTTAACACCGTTACCCTCAGTCCGGAACCCGTCATATCGTTCAACGTGCGCCGGCCCTCCGAGACGCTCAGCGCGCTTCAATCGTCGAAGCGCTTCCTTGTACACCTCCTCGCTCCCCGACAGACAACCGCTACCCTTGCACGAGACTTCTCCAAGGGCAACCACAATCTGTCCCTCTTGGAGGGGAAGAGTGAATATGAGTTCGTTGCGCACGAACATTCTCTTCGTGGTGACGAGACTTCCGGGAGACCTCTTCCGTTGTTGCAGAGGAAGCAGGATGCTACGACCACAGGATCGGGAGACTTTCCATTCGTACTGGAGTGTCAGCTCCACCCGCAGAGTATCCAGGTCCAGGACCACACGATCGTCGTGGGAACTGTTGTTCGAGCGCTTTCAGGAGAGCTGTTGAGCCTTGACTCCGAGACAAAGGCTGGAGACCTTTGCCTGACGTACGCAAATACTCACTTCTGGGAAATGGGCCACAAGATATGAAAGACGGCTTTCAGAATCCGTGGTCACTCAAGCCTTTCTCCCTTTATAGTACCCGATGCTCTAGATACGAGCTATACACACCATACGGTTAGAGTGCCGGTAGCCTCTCAGGGAGTTACTTACCTCTGTATATTATACATACTTGATATCCTGGGTTTTGGCTAAATTTTGCAAGCACTATCTCCATTACGTGTACATAGAATCATTGACAGTCCCACTACCGTTACTGGGCAAGGGATAATCCATACATTTGTTCAATTTCCTTTGCCATAGGAACAAAATGCTATGAGAAGAAGTCCTTGCAGAAACAAAAGCATAGTGATTCGAAGACCTACATACTGTCATAAAAAGAAATGACAAAAATATATGGATGCTATGCGACACCTCTGGGATTCGAACCCAGGAGGGCGAACCCACAGGCTAATCAGCTATTACAGTGAAAACGTAGTAGCAGGCCTGCGCCTTAACCGCTCGGCCAAAGTGTCTGAAGATGATGATTGCATCAAGGAGTAAAAAGTATAGTTCTAGAGCTCGTTACACATAAGCAACAAGTAATAGTAAGAACTTGTTTGAAACTTTGTCCCCAGACATATGACGAAGATTATAACTTACCTTTGTTGAATATGGGCATAGCTGGTATCTATTCTCATAGGAGTAAGTAATGCATGCTGTCTTCTATTTGTAAGTGTAGATGCTGTGCTAACATCTCAGGGCTAGCGAGTCCAGCTGGGCCGCTTATAGGCAGAAATATCACCAGTGCTTTGACATGCTGTAGAGCTCTTCTCATTGATAAGTCTGCGAGTACAATAGCATGCAGTGTGATGCGATCGGTTTTAATACATGAATTGTAGAACCTTATGTACACTCGCTCCTCATGGCTTGCTCACTGCTATCAAGCGCGAGCTTGTCAACTTTCTCGGCCGAACTATGGTAGCAATAAGTTACTTTCAGGCAAGTTTGGCTGGGTTTGGTGAGTCATAATGAGAGAAGTAGCAGTAACTGTTAAGACACTTTGGCCGAGTGGTTAAGGCGCAGGCCTGCTATACCGATTTCGCCGTATCAGCTTCCTAGCCTGTGGGTTCGCCCTCCTGGGTTCGAATCCCAGAGGTGTCGTCAATTTTTCTTTTTCGTACTCTGGACTATATATATATATTAGTAGTATCTTCCCTGCCTAACTAAATAAGTAGTTTTTTGCTGCCGACGTGTGTGCACATGGCAGGTCTGAAAAATAAGTACAGTTTAAAAACCAAACATGGGAAGTCACAACACATGCTGTCCGTGATAAGCACAGTGATATGTTATGTTTATATTGATATACATGACATAAACTAGCAACATAGACCGAACTGCCCAACATGACAGTATTCTACAACGTAACGTTTATTAAGCAAATACATACCCAGATTTTCCTCCAATTTCTAGACAACTTTCATAATCCTGTGACGTCAATCATCCAATTCGACACTTTGGCCGAGTGGTTAAGGCGCAGGCCTGCTATACCGGTTTCACTGTATTAGCTTTCAGCCTGTGGGTTCGCCCTCCTGGGTTCGAATCCCAGAGGTGTCGTGTAATAACTTTTTGCTGTGTACGTTTGGGAACTTATCTATTTTTGGGGGCCGGAGGATGACCCCGGGACTATAGAAGTAAATTTGCTTGCTTGCCTGCATGGCGAGTGTCTGATCGATCTGTTCTGGGGAATCGAAAACTATTGTTAATTTTTCTATTGTGTTACATCGTTTCCCCTCTGAATCGAAGTCTACTGCTTAGTACTAACAGCAGTAGTATAGACTGCGTTAGGTGGGTGATAAGTTCGGCTATATATAAATGAGAAACAAGGGATGTTTGACTGCCGACAACACAAGGCACTGCTAGAATTAAATAGCCAATAACCCGGGAGTTCACCTACAATGCTACCAAATGATAGAATGGACATCTACAATGGAACCACAAAATGTGCAGAAACAGGCTTTTCGGCAAATTATGAATAGGCTCTACATATGACACAAGATTTCTTTGTTCACAGGCGATGGAATACCAAGACGGAAGACACACGGCGGCCGCGGACTCGTCTGGGCCAAGGAACCCTGAAGCAGGTAAACCACCATACAACCTTGAGTATCACGTCTGAAGATGAACACGACCAAGCAGGAACTGGAACCATAATGCAACCCGGAACAAGACAGATGGAACTCGTGGGGAGAACCACAGACTTGTCCCTTCACCTCGCCTAGTTGCCCTTACCACCCGTCGAGCTGGGACTGCCACTTCCACTACCGCTTGCACCGCTACTTCCGCTTCCACTTCCGCTACCACGACTATCGGCCCGCTGGAACGGGGTGGAGATGGGTCTCATGATCGGGTTAGGAGTTACCCCCTCGGAGCCCGAATCCATCCGCTTCTCAATGACCGCATCGGAGAGATCAAGCTGGAAGGGACCACGACGGTTAGAGTCCAAGAAATCAGTACCGTAGAGACTGCTGTGCGCAGACCGGTTGGAGAATGACCGGTCACGGTAGCTGAAATCCGTATCGAAGTAGTTGCCGGTGTTACCAAGCGGGGAAGTCGGAAAGTGTTGCAAATAGGAAGGTGGCTGCGTTGGGCTAGTCGGATGAGACGAAGCGGCACCAACAGGGGATGAGGCATGCTGCAGCGGACTAGACTTCAGCGCGGGAAAGCTAAGTCCCAGGAGAGATCGGGTGCTGGGCGCAGTCGTTGTCAACGCCCCCAAAGATATGCCAGGTGCCTCGGTCAGAGGATTGGTGCCAGGCAAGTTCCCTTCGGGAGTAAGCGGGGCAGAATCCAAGAGCATCTGCTGTTGCTGCTGCTGGATGGCTTGCTCAATAGCAGCAGCTTGCTGCCACAATTGGTTGGTGCGCATCTGGTACTCCTGCACGGATTGGCTGATGCTGGCAAACTGCTCGTTGAAGTTGGCCTCTAACTTCGCCTGGTCCTGCTCCCGAGCGAATTGTTCCGCAGCACGGCGCTCCCGCTCATTCAAGCCTTGGGCGTTGGCAGAGACGATCCTCTCGTATTGTTCATTGACCCTAGTACGGCGGCCCTGAAGACGTTCCTTTCTCTGGATAGCCGAGTTCAGCTCCGACTCCAATGACGACACTTCACGAGCAACAGCGGCCCGAGCAGAAACGAGCTCCTCCTTAGCCAAGTTGAGTTGTTCCAACTCCCGTTCGTACTTAGACTTCTGGGCCGACCATTCTTCGAGTTCTTCCTCGGGAATGTTCTCCAAATTGTCGAGTTGGCTTTCAAGAGCGGCTGTGATTTCCTCCGTTTGCTTAATGTTTCTCTCAAGCTGTAACGAGCGCTGCTTCTGTCGGTTCTCATCGGTACCACTCTGCAGACGATGGTTGTAGTTATCCAGTTCCTTCCTGATTTTGGAAATGACGAGTTTGTGGTCGTTTTTGGCTTTCCTTAACCGGGCGCGTTTCTCATTCAGTTTGGCCTCGGCGTTGATGATCGAATTCTTGAGCGTAGTGGTCGGTGATGACGGACGATAAGAAGGTTGCGGAGGAGTTGGGATCGAAGAGACTGCTGGTGGCCGATGTGAGCCAACTATTTCGGACGAACCGGAGGCCAAACGAGGTATTCCCTTACCTTGTTCCGCGTCAGTTGCAGCTGGTGTCTTGACGCTCATGACACAGATCTCTTCATCAGTATCGCTCCGCACGAAGGAGCAAGTGTAGGCACAGTTAGGAGCAAGTCCCGAGACTTCGCCCCGCCAGTGTACCGTGTTTGACCCCTTCGGAGCGTCTTGCACCTTGGTGATCGTTGCCGTTGCCCACAATGCGCCGTTGACACAGACGTAAAAAGGTTCCGTTTCATCATTTCCCAGACGAGTAGTTTCGCAGACTCCGGAAAGCGCAGGATCATCCACGGATGTGAAGTCACCCGCGGCAAACTTGATAGTAGAGCTATCGACTTCGGTTATCCAAACTAGTCCATCATCCAACGAAATGCCCTGAAGATCCTCTTCTGTCATCATAAGGCCCCTGCCGGTTTTGTTGAGGGCCCTAGAATGCTCATATTCCCTCATCACCGTCACCTTCGTGCTTGCGAGTGCAGCCCAGAACGGTTGACGGCTCCGGACCTGATTGGCTTGCCTTCTGCGTTTCTTTGCCGACATGAGTCTATCTCTGCCATCCTTATGAGTTGCCGGCGTAACGAGTTGACCATCGGCACCGATGTAGGAAGATACGCTAGCCCCGGACTCGAACGCAGAATCGATTTGTGTCTGCGACCCGGCAGAGGCTTCGGTATCAACGCGCTTGCCGTTGCGAGGGGGAGCCGGTGACCGGTTTTTCGCCATCGATCTTCTTGCCATGGCGGTGCCTGCTTGAGCCAAGATGTGAACGGCGAGGAGACTGCGCATCCAACTTGGGGAGCTTTGTGGTTCCGTGCGACGAAACTCGGGGGGCATGAGATGTGAATATTGCGATAAGAAATCAGGCGAGACGATTTTGGCGGAGAGCAGATGACCTATAACAAAATCCTGTATACCTTTACTGCGTATAAGATGTAATACGAGAACAATGCCAACGCAGAGAGCATTGACCCCTCCATTCTTCCCCGAACCTCCTCCACCTAGCGTAATGGCAACTTGAACGTGAGCTAAATCGAGCGCAAAGTTCTGCGCCCATGTCCACATGAAAAGGCCCCAGAAGAGTAAGCAGAATCCATCCATGGCGATCATTGTGCCAAGAGAAGGCGTTCCGGCGGGGCCCTGAAAGATGTCGAAGTTGGAGGTCAAGGAGCCAGACGCTGCACCGCTAGGAGGCATGAAGGTCAGGGAAGCAAAGAGGAACTGAACCAGAGTGAGAACCATAGGCGGCAGCTGCAAAAGGAAGATCAGAATGGCGATCGTGTCGTACATCGGGCAGGACTTGAGGATCGTCGACGCGAGCTGGAGTGGATTGATAGAGCCCGACTTCTTGGAACCGGTCGCCGGCTTCTCCGTTCGCCGCGACGCCTGTCCGGCAAGTCCGCCATTCTGGGGCACGGCGCCATTCGTCTGGCCATAAGACATGTCCGCGTTACCCTTAGCATACCCGTTCAGCAAGCCGCGCCCGTTGCCATCCGCCTTCGAGGTGTCCGCCGAGCCGTTGACCTTGCTTGCCGTGGTTGCCGATGAGGTTAAAGCCGAATCGCTGGAAGAGCGAGATGCGGGCCAGTCGACTTGTGTGGAGGGACCAGAGTTCGGGGCAGAGGCGCCGTTGGTGTTCCCATTCAGATTTCCATTGGACTTTTGCTTGTTCACTTTCTTTCCGGGACCGACAAGACCATTCTCATGCCGATTGCTATGACTCTTCCTAGCCGTGGCCGATGAACGTGGCATGGACGAGGGAGCCTAACACCCAGGTCCGAGTCAGCTTGGCAGGAAGGAGCCAAGGACTTGGACCAGGCGAGAATTGAGGACGGAGACAGCGTCGGGGAAATAGAAGAGTTGGGGGGGTGGGAGAGAAGAAGGGGTGATGAGAGTGGGAAAGGAAAGGGAGGGGAGGTAGCACCCAGGAAGCGAACGGGAAAAGGAATGACAAGAGGGGATAGAGAATCGGTAGAGGTAAGGACTAGGTTAAGAAAAGGAAAGTAGAGTGAATCGGATTGGATATGGAAGAGGGTGAGTAAGAGAGGGTGGCGGGGGAGGAGGTGGGAGGAAAGAGAAGGGAAAAATGAATGAGGTTTGGTAGACTTTTGGGTCTGGATAGACGAGGCGGGAAAAAGACGAAACGACGAAAGGTTGGAAACGGATCGTCGAGAGGAAATCCCGCTAAGGCAGCAAGGCGGCCAACCTCCAGCCAATCCGGCTATCGGTGCCTTAGGCATTACATATAATACCCTTCCCTGTCACGGTACCATACATACCCTGTCAGATACAGGAGGTTTCTTACTGACATTTATCATACATTACATGACGTACCCTCACTGCGCTGTCTTCCGGTTGGCTGGTTGGCTATCCAGATTCCCTTTCCCTCGACCGATTTTTGGGGCGATCTGGAGGTTGAGACCAGCCACGGAGATCGTGGATGCTGAAGAGACCAATGGGACCTCTTGTTCTGGTGAAGGTTGAAGTTGCTTGGATCTTCAAACAACCGTGTCCACAA